CCCAGCCGCTCCCGGGGTGAGGCCAGGAGCCAGGCGCGTCCCCAGGGTGCTCTCACCTGCTGCCCGTCGGCAGCGAGTCCAGAGCTGCTCCTGAGGTTCGTTTTCCAGGTTTCCTACTTTATCTCAGGGGCCACCGCTTACTTATACCCTCCCCGGTTGCTGGAAGGCCCAGCCCCGCGGCCTTCTGCTCCTGGCACCGCGCCCCCAGCTCGGTGAAGTGGACCATTAAGCACTGACTCAACTTGGACCGAGTAAATGAAGTTGACGCGGCAAAAATAAACACGCCCAGACGTAAAGTCACTAACGTGATCCCAAAGGCCTGAGAGTTCCGTTAGTACTGGGCTAAATCAGGAATTCAGTGTGCAGAGCTCTTTCTCTTTTCAAATAATAGCAAAAGCATATATAGTATTTACCATGTGCCAGGCATTATTCTAAAACACTTTACAAGTGGTGATCCATTTCCTCTTCATGTTAAGAAGAGTCTCTGGGGGCTGGGGACATAGCTCAGTTGGTAGGGTGCTGGCCTGGCATGCATAAGGCCCTGGGTTCAATCCCCAACACCAAAGAGAACCACTACTTCATTATTTCATACTCTGCCTAGCCACCTCAATAAGAACAGTAATTTTGTTCTGGTGCCAGGCCAGTATTTTTGGTTTTCTTTTGTTTTTGAGCCACACCCCGAGTCCAGGACTGCAATTCTTTAAAAAATGCTTTCTCAGCCTGTTGGCTACCCTGCTATTTTAGTCATTACAGGAAATGTGGCTTTCCTGTGAGTTCATTCTAAATAAATCATTGTAAACAAGCTGCTTTTACACTAGAGTGATGTACAGTTAAAACGTGTGTATGAATACCTAGGTTCTAAAAATAGATTAGTCTAATTGCAAAAATACACAAACCAATCGAATCACTGTGATATCTACATGGTGCCATAGTAAATGGCTACCTATTGAATGGTCACTCAGACCTAGAGGAAACATGATAAAGCTTTTAAAACACGAGACTGAATTCTATGTTACTATGACACCCATTCTCAACATTGCATTTTACCCCCCAAAATCAATGTTAACATTTAATTTTTAACTTTTCTGCAAGTTTACATCTAACATAATTTCGAATGTCCACCAATAGGAGACTGGTTGAAACTATGGTGTCAACTTTCTGTTACTGTGACAAATTCCTAAGATAACCAAGGTGTAAAGACAAAAGGCTTATCTGGGCTCACAGTTTTGAAGGTTTCAGTTCATGGCTGATTGGCCTAGCTGCTTTGGGACCTGTGGTGAGGCAGCCAATCATGGTGGGGAGAGCCAAGCCACTCAACCATGGCTGGGAAGTGAAGGGAGGGGAAAGGGCTGGGGTGCCATTATAACCCCCTGCCTTAGCTTCACCTCCTCTCTAAGCACCATGTTAGCACCAAGCCTCTGGCCCACAGGCCTCTGAGGGGCACTACAGGTCCAAACTACAGCATCTGGTCTCCACAACACAAGGCAGAGCTGCACAGGTATGAGAACTGAGGAATGTGTCCATGCACTGCCAGATGTCACTGAGGGTACAAGGGAGTGTAACCCGCATGCACCTAGGAAAGAGGTGAATACACACACACACACACACACACACACACACACACACACCTGATATCATTTCACAGAGGGACGAGCACTAGTCCATGTGATCACGGGTAGGGAAAGGAAGGGATATGGGACAGGGCACACATAGAAGGCAGCTTCACTGAATACCCCTTACTTACATGTGGCTTTGGGACCATGTGAATATGTGACATTATAAAACACAATTTTGAATTTTAAAAAGCAGTCTTGAAAAATTGATGGAGAAATTAATCAGCTGTATCTAAATGCTCCAGGGTTGTGGCCTGTCAGACAGAGAACTACCCCAAGCAACTCTGAAGCGTGATTTCTAAATCCTTAGTGGATTGAATCCTCCAGACTGGAGGAATTACAAAAACCCTGTGGACTCCTTAGTAATTAAACTGTTGGTGGCAACGTTGGTATTGTGGAATAAACCCAGTAGGTGTATCAAGGGGGTACCCTTGAAGCCCAAGTTTGGAACCTAGCAATACAGAGGAAAGCTTGATGAGGTCATGCAAGCATCCTGTAGTTCTGGATCTCGCTTGGGAGTCTCAATGGGAAGGCTTACTTTTTCTATGAGAGTTTTCATGAAAACCAGTGTCTCCCATAACCACATGACAAAGGCCTAAGTGTAAAGCACTCCGCAGAAAAGGCACCTGTTATTCCAACGCTGTGATCTCTACAAACCATTTCCCACTAAAAGAAATGCAAACACCAAAAAAAAAACTGATTTCATGCCTCATGCAGGAAATGTTCCAAATGATCCAGGGTCTCCTGTCAAAACAAAAAAAAAAAAAAAAAAAAAAAAGGATGATCTTGGGTCTGGGAAGGAAGTAGGCAGAAAAGCTGGAAGCATCCCACTTCAGGACTCAGGGAAGCAATGAAAGTATTAGGCAAGGGAGGAGCCCTCTGCCAACAGTCCCAAGACAAGACGTATCATCATCCACAGATTAACTGTTGTGGACTAAAGATAGCCCAGCTATCTTCAAATAATCCTACTGAAGAAGACACAGCCAACCAGCCACACAGGCCAAAGTCTGCCCTGTCCACCTTGGATGACATAAGACAACCGACCCTAAACAAAGAAGAACCCTACCCTTTCTAATTGTGATGGTATGGTTGATGTGGAGTGTCTCTTTTTACAATGACATGCAGGCTGCGAAGATGGGAAGGGAATGGCAAAACAGCATTCCACCCTACAAACTCCATAAAGTGACAGATTAAGGAGTGGTCAATGGAAGGACAGGATTCCGTGCCATTCACGTGCTGCTGGAATAGCACACTTCTACCTAATGAAGCACTCAGTCAAGTAACAGTGGCCTCTAGATCCAGGTAGAGGAGACGGAACACATAGATCACACACACACAACCAGGAACATCCAGATGCAGGGAACTCGAGTTCTTCAGGAAAAAAGAACAAAGGACTCAGATGCTTCTACTAATAGCTAGAAATAGAGGGAGAGGGAGAGACCATGAGTTTAGAGATTCAAGACACGGAGCAACAACCACAATGAGCAAGTCTTCTTTGCATCTTGATTCAAAAATGAACTTTAAAAAACGATTTTAGACAACTTGGGAAATATTAGCATTGACTGAGTATTCAATATTAAGAATTAGTTTTTCAGGTCTGATAATGTGATTTTTTTTAAATCCTTAGATTTTAGGGAACATATGTAAATATAACCAACCCAATTATGTTTGAAACTTGCTTCAAAATATGTGAGGCTGAAACGGACGCCCACTGGGGTGTGAATGAAACAGGATGGGCCAGAGCTACTGAATACTTGGACATTCGTGTTTGAAACTTTGTGTGATCCAACTTCTCACAATTGCATCAGAAGTCCGATAAGAGGGCTACCGTTCACTGCTACCCCCAGGCACCTGGGACAGCTTCAGCGGAACATAAGTTTCGGTTCTCTGGTGCAGCTGATTCAGTCACAACTTCAAACTACTGAAGATTTAAGGGAATAAAATTTGGCGGAAGATGAACTGCAGGCACGTAATTCCTTCCCTAAAATTCTTGGGACCATATATATATTCCTCCATTTTTTTTTTTTTTATGGAATACGGCTGTAAACCAGTTAGTACCCCCACAACTGAGCCCCACCCAGGTCACACCCCCATGGCCTCATACGGCACTTCGGTAGCAAAATGCATGCACTTGCACACTGAGTGCATGAGGTATCGGGCCCAAGCTCTGCAGGTCAGAGCTTGTCACCAAAGTCCACCTGATGGCAAACATGCGGGTTTCATAGCAGTGGCTAAGGGTTGTCCTACCTAAGTGCATTTCCTGCAGCGCTTGGGGAAATGCAATACTGTTTCCTACTATCATCTGAACATAGATTTCTGAATGCTATATGTTTTAAAAATTAAGATTATAATTTGGAAAGAGACAAATGGAACACCTCATTCAACAAGATCCATTAAGGCAGGAAGAACTTTTAATATTATAGCAACAGAAAACCTCTCATTACCTCTTGCTTAGTATTACTTGAGGTTAAAACATTAAACTTTGAGCCCTCTTTGGGGAAGTATAGGGGAATTCCAGGCAGCTCCAAGAGTAAATTCTCTGTATCACAACTGCAGATTTCTGGAGCATTTTGAGTTTTCTGAGGAAAGTTATTTAAGTACTGAGAAGAGAGAGTTTAATTTCCATTCTACCTTGGAAGAGGCTCTGGTTTGCTAGAAGGTACAAGGGATAGATGTGGCAACAGCTACTCAAAATGGTACAGCTAATCATGAAAAATAATATGGAATATACTAAAAATTTTTAGAAATACAGCTACTATATGATCAGCAATTACACTTCTCAGTATTTATCCAAGATCACTGAAAATAGAATCTGGAATAGAAGAGAGATTAGCAATCTCACCAACTCTGCAGCACTAGAAATAATACCAAGAAAGGTCAACAACCAAATGTCCATAGAATGGGGAACAGATAAGAGAAAATGTGATGTATGCATGCGACAGAATGTATTTTAAAAGTCCTACATGCACATAGGGTAATAATGCCTGACTCATTCTACTGTCTTTCCTATCCCCAGGCCCCTACCCTCCCTTCACTGCCCTCCCCCACCCTTAGAGTGAGTTAGCATCTGCAGAGCAGAGGAAACCTTCGGACTTTGGTTTTTGAGGATTGGCTTATTTCACTCAGCATGACATAGAAAGTACTTTGAAGTTACAGAGCTTCATGACCGAGCAATATGAACTGAGGCACAGAGGACACATTTTCTCTGCTGTTCCTGAATACAGACACAGCAGAAAATCTTCAGGCATGTCTCATTATTCAGAGTAACTCAAAGAAAATTTGGCCTTATACTTATTTCCTTAAAACATGAGTTCCCCAGTAATATGATTTTTATAAAACAATGCCATCTTCACTGACTAGTACTCAGTACTGTTAACTATGTTCCTCTGTAGTTTCAGTCATACTTTTAATCCTCTACAAAACATGGGACTCAAGTTCTTAGAGTTGAAAACTGACCTAGAATAGGGACAAGTGGTACAACTGTTGTTTTTATGGAAATGAACGACAATCAGAACACAGATGAAATATCTAAAGTCATCAGTCACTTTCTCTTTTTTTTTTCCTGCTATTTTCTAAGTACCATAATCATAGGCTTTTAGTAAGTGTTCAAATACAACTTTTAGTTAATAAATCTA